AGGGCTTAGGGTTTAGGGCTTCGAGCTTAGGATCAGGGTTTATAGGGTTGAGGGATAAAGTGTCTTGCTTCATGTGGTTTGTTGCGTTCTTCTGTTCATGAGATGCTCTTGGTTCGATGTAGTACTTTGCTTCAATGCGATCCCGCATGAAACCTAAAACCTAAACCCTCGCAAATCCTACTCAACCACGGACCATTGACAAACCCTACAAACAGCGTGAACGCCCAGGAGAACCCTCTTCGGGAGCCCTACAGGAACCCGAAAAGGATGTTTTGGGTGAGCCCTACCCTAAACCCTAAACCCTAAACCCTAAAAACCCTCCCTTAAACTGAGCTCTTGTTCAGCAATTTAGATTACCACACCCGGGATCTTTAAGTATTAGGTTGCTTGTTGTGGTAACTTAAACTGAAGCCTTAATGAACAGGAACCCAAGAAAGGGACCCTCCTGCTCCCATCCTAAACCCTAAACCCTAAAGCCTAAAGCCTAAACCCCCTTGGAAACTCAGCCAAAGGCGCCGGAGTTGGCTCAGAGTCGAGAAGCTGGAATCGGGAGCGAGTGAGCAGGTGGACCTGATGCATTCCGCGAAACCGACGGTTAAGGGTTTAGGGTTTAGGGTTTAGGGTTTAAGGTTTAGGGTTTAGGGTTTAGGGTCGATAGGGAGAAAGGTAGATAGGCACATACATACAAAAGGATAGGCAGATAAGTAGAGAGAATTTCGATAGATAGATGGGTTGGTATATACATATAGATAGATGGATAGATAGATAGATAGATACACAGATAGATACATAGATAGATAGGTAGATAGCTAAATAGCTAGATAGCTAGATAGATAGATAAAAGAATCGATAGCTAGCTAGCTAGATAGATACCTAGAGAAATAGACAGATAAAGAGATAGATAGATAGATAGATAGATAGATAGATAGATAAATAGATAGATAGGCAGATAGATAGATAGATAGAAAGATAGATAGATAGATAGATAGATAGATAGGTAGGTAGGTAGATAGATAGATAGATAGATAGGTAGGCAGGTCGGCAGATAGATAGATAGATAGATAGATAGATAGGTAGATAGATAAATAGATAGATAGGTAGATAGACAGATGGATAGATCGATAGATAGATAGATAGATAGGTAGATAGGTAGATAGATAGATAGATAGATAGAAAGATAGATAGATAGATAGATAGACTGATAGAGAGATAGATGGATAGACCGATAGCGAGATAGATAGGTAGATAGACAGATAGGTAGATATGCAGATAGGTAGATAGATAGCAAGATGGACAGATAGACAGATAGAATAGATTGGAAGATAGAGTCGCATGATCGATCGCTCGACAGTTCCGACGAACAAACGATCGATCGGACGACCGATGGATAGATAACTAGATGCAACTGCATATGGGTAGTTCTCTAAATTACAGCCCCTTTTGGGGTCCTTTTTATAAGGGTGCCGTAGGGATTTGGGGTTGAGGGTTTAGGGCTTAAGGAATTGGGGTTTAGAGTTTGCGGTTTAGGGATTTGGGGTTTAGGGTTCAGGGTTTTGTTTATGGGTTTAGGGTGAAAAATGCGTTCTGATTCCGCCGCATGTGAAGTGGACCTGCATTCCCACAGGGTCCAAGTATCATTAAAGCAGGCTCTTGATACATACGGCTGATGATAAAAATCCTGCATTGCCCATCATAAGGAGTATACCAGAATTCCCATAGTTTAGAATCTTTAAGGTAATGCAGGATTTATATCATCAACAGTATATGGGACCGAAAAGAAAAACCGTACTGTTACTTGGACCCTTCTGGATTTATATATGTATCAACTCTTCGGGCTTAGCTGCCTGTATATGTCGCGAAGTGCCTTCCAACCACCAGACAGTGACGTAGTCGACTGCAACGGGGCTTGTGTGGTGCTGTTCTCAACTGAAGTACGGTTACTAGCCAAAACTCAACTTTCATAAAACGCTCCAAAGCACTATAAACTCCCTAAAAACCAAAGAGCCAGGCAACATCCTATGTAGCTTCAGGTCTACTACCCGGAAACCTTCAACCGCCCCAATCGCGGTTTAGGGTTTAGGCGTTATTGGGGTCCCGACGCAAATCCCTTGCTGCACGCGTCCGGCACGGCCGGCACGCTGCTGGAGGTTGGCTTGGCTGGCCCACACCACCTGCCACGGCTTTCCCCTTTGGGTGTTAGGGTTAAAGGATTAAGGCCATGGTATTTGGGTCTTACTGTGCTGCATACCCTGTATGATCAGAAAGCATGAGGTTTGGTTGCTTTTGATTGTAATTTCAGGGCAGGGACATAAACATGAATATGAACTGTATATAACCCTAAACCCTACCTTGTCCCTATAAAAACCTTCCATTTTAGGGCCTCAGTTATGGTTTCTTTATGCAACTCCTTATTTTATTAAAAGCACGTAGGTCAGCTGGGGTCCAGGTAAACCCTAAACCTTGACATTCACACACGGCTTTCGAAGGTTTTCTGGGGCTTGGGTTGGGGACCCCTAAACCCTAAACCCTAAACCCTAAACCCCGGCTTTCGAAGGTTCTCTGGGGCTTGGGTTTGGGATACTAAGGCCTCAGAGAGCTCAGCCCTGTACGGATAGTTGGAAGGCCTTTTGGGCTTATCTACGCCTTCTCTAGGGTTTAGGGGTTTAGAGTTTAGGGTCGGGTCCTGTAACCAGGAAATATGACTACAGCAGAAGGGCAGTATATATATATATATATTCTTCTATATATAATATATTATTAATATATATATATATATATTTATATTATAATATATATATATTATAATATATATATATATATATATTATTCTATATATAATATATTATAATATATATATATATATATACATATATGTATATATATATTATGTATATCAGAGGGGGTTTCTGAGAAAGTCCCGGGCCTTCCACGTGGTTGTGCTCTGCGACTCCGGGCGGGGGAGATGCCGTGGGCACGGGGGGCAGGGGGAGGGGGGAGGGTTTAGGGTTTAGGGTTTAGGGTTTCGGGTTTAGGGTTTAGGGTTTTGGGTTTAGGGTTTTGGGTTTAGGGTTTAGGAGGGGGCTAAAGCTGAATTGTGAAGGCCCTTTAAGGTACATGTTAAGGCGTCAGGCTTTGGGGTGTTAGGAGTTTGGAGTCTAGACCCTGGCGTTTAGGGTACATGGGCTTATAAGGTTTTCGGATTTAGGTTTAAGCGTTTAGGGCCCCGTTCCATAGCACTTGCGTCGCCAAGTTCTACGACGAAGGAGAATCCTAAAAATCTAAGTGCCAGAGGGCTTGTACCACTCAGAGGACAGTACGTCGAAGCCAATTCCCCACCGTTTGGGCACGCTGACACCTAGGGAAACCGTTTAACATTCAGGTTGTAGCGCTCATGTGTGTTGCTACTTGAGGGGAAGCTTGTCTAGCCCTACACGCCTCTAAACCTAAACCCGGCAGGCGTGTGGTAAAGCCTCTAAGTTCGTGTGCTTCTTGATCCTCGCAAGGCCACTGTCAATGACGCAAAGGATGTCCGGAATGGTGATCGACGTCCTTGGATTCGGCTTAGGCTCTGGGACACAAAGTTTAATGCTCAGGGTTGGGGGCTGTCGGATGAGCGTTGAGGGTTGTGTCTTGAAGCAATGTACATACATGTTTGTACATAGCAGTATATACATACATGGATATGTAAAGATATGTACATCTGTCCCTCACTCTGTTTCTCTGCCTCTCCCTCTCCCTCCCCAAATCTCCCTCTCCCCCTCGCTCTCTCTATCTCCGTCTATCTCTTTCTCTCTTACGGTAGCATAGACTGAATCTCTTCGAAAAACCCGAATCATCCACGTCTTTGGTTTAGACCGACCCGGCCCTAATTGGTTTCAGGATCAAAACGGCTTGCCATGTCTCAAAATCAAACTATACGGGCTCAAGACTAAAACGGTGTAGGAGCAGCTAGACCCCTCAACTTGCCGAAATACCTTCTACTCAGGACGACAAAGCTCAGCGATGCAGAGCTCCTAATTTCAGACGGGCCTTGGGGGTGACGAGCCTATCTTCTGAAATTCCAAAAAATTGGCCCTCCAGTTTTACATAGTGTGCTATTTGGCGCTAAAGCCTGAAAAAGATGGTTTGCAAAACAGAAAAACAGAAGCACCGAAACCCTTGCCTCTAAAACCGAAATCAAACCCTACACTCAAAAGCCACAGAGTTGCCAGACCCTAAACCCAACACCCCACAGTGCAGCCAAAACTCTCGGCGATGTCTGTGCCTAGCACGACCTGTACCATGCTTCTGCTTGCCCGAAATCTCCAAATACACAAAAAAGCTTAGGGTTTAGGGTTTAGGGTGTAGGGTTTAGGCTTTAGGGTTTCACACGAAAGCAAAGGGTTTTCGGCACGGAAAACCATTCAGAGTTTTGTATTCCTGACCTGAAACCCTAAACCCTACACCCTGCTTATTTGGGTAATTACTAGGACCCCTAGGCCCCTAGGGTTGCATTTCGGAATTGCTCTCACAGTCCAGACAGGACTTCTTCCGGGGACGTGCCGTCTGGGCCACAAAGGAATTTCTGCACAAAGACTCTTTGGGTTTAGGACTTGAAGCCCCGTAACTCGCGCAAGCGGTGTTAAAACACATTCCCAAGTCCTACGTACTTGTATCTTCTGACACTGCTTATCGCCGAGGGCACGAGACCTACCTAGAATTATCACAACCTGCTTCTTTGTAGAAACTGAGGTTTGTAATCGGTCAGTCAGAACCTACAAAAACGTAGGTTACGGTAGTCTAAGGAAGAGATTAGAAGCTCTGGAGCGATGATGTCCGGAACCCTAAAAGCCCTATGCCGTAAATCCCTAGAGCCCTAAAATAGACCCTGCCAAACCTAAAACGCTGAACCCCTAAACTCTTATAAGTTCCTGTTGAACCCAAAACCCTAAACCCCAAAAGCCCGAATAAAAGCGTACTCAAACCCCCTTAAACCCTGTTTGGGATTTCTTCGCCTAAACCCAAAGCCCTTCAGAAGAGGAGGTTGTGGGGCCCGCGTTTTTGCACTATGTTCGGTGGTTTTGTATGTTTCGAGTGGTTGTGTGTGTGTGTGTGGCTGTGGGTTTCTGTGTCAGTTGATTTCCCCTAAACCCTAAACCCTAAACCCCTAAACCCTAAAGCCTCAAAACCCTAAACCCTAAACCCTAAACCCAAAGCCTTCCGGCAGCCCGAATTCGCCGGCTGAAAGGCTCGCTGCTGCTCGGAGGGGGGCACACTGCCTGCGCAGGGAAGGGCCCCTCAACATGCTCCTTAGGGTTTAGGGTTTGGGGCTTAAAGGTTTAGGACGTATAAGTAAGCTTTCAGCCGTATAACTTATAGGTCTGAGGGCTTAGCATTTAGCGCGGCCAGTTTAGGGTCCAGAGCATGGGTCTGATGGGGTTTAGGTTTAGGATTTGCTGTGATGTGCCATGCATGTCATACTTCACGGCTTGAGAGTAAATTTTGGGGCGTATTCCTACATTGTCTAATGTTGCATGTGTATAAGTATATATATATATATACATACGCATATATATATATATATATATGTGCTATATGTATATATATATATATATATACATATATATATATATATATTGATTGATATGAAACTCCTACAAGTCTATGATTGAATTATGGTTTGTGTAAGCGTCTCCGAAGTAAGCACTTAGGATCGTTCGGGGAGATTTCTGCACCTTCTAGGCCCTCTGCCCTGCCCGCAAAGTCCCTTTTGGGGCGCTCCGAACGGACGTCGTCGAGCCATTGGTGGCTCAAGCAGCCTCGCAGCAAAGTTATATAGGGGCGCTGATAATTACCTATACCATTTTGGAGGGTTCCTTATTCCAAATTATAGCATAATATACCCCAGAACCCCATCCTATTTATTCAGGCCCCTACATTAGATCTGGGATAGGGTTCTGGGGTTGAAAGCCTAGAGGTTCGAGGGTCAACAAAAGCCTAAACCCAGAACCATCATGGGACTTATGAAGTCGCGTTTACATAGAGTCATAGAGTTCGAAACGCCTCTAGGGAGGAGTTATGACCTCAATTAGAGCCTAGGAACCTTGTCCCCTGATCGGTGAGTGTTGCAAAACCAACAAACCCTACACCCGATCGCATCGGCCTCATATGCCAGGAGGCCATCCCCACCACTTTCCCGAATCTGTTCAATCTACCGCTGGCCGTATGTTTTGACACACCCAAACCTTTACAAAGTCGACGAAATAGGCAGGATCAGCTCATATCTTCAACAGTTGAGCAGAACGCTCTCACCACCCGTTAACTGCGAGCCTAAGCCAAACCATGATCTCAAAACCTAAACCCTGCAAACCTTTAATACCACAACCAATGGCTGGGCTGTTGCGCGGACGACCGTATACTTTCATGCGGGAGGCCGTCACGGCTCTGTCAGTGCTTGTGGCTGATGCTCAGACTCCCAGTCGTAGATTCTCATAAATGACGGGGTTTGGAGTTGGGGTGTTGTCTACAGAATCAGTCATGCTGGACCCTGCAATCTTCAGCGCTTGCAAGGCTTCAGCCTGAACCACCTGCGACTATGTAGTTCTGAAAGAGTGCTTATATGATGAATGCCTACTTCGGTCCGTGCTTACCCTGCTTGGAGGATCATGGGACTTAGTAACTAGGGTTACAAATAAGGTAACTAGGCTTATAACTAGTTATAACCCCAATTAAGGGAGCTATAACCTTACTTACTAAGTCCCATGATCCTAAACCCTAAACCCTAAACCCTAAGGTTTTGGTTCAGGTTTTCAGGGGTCTAGGTTTTGGGGTCCCATGGTCCTCCAAGTGGGCTATTCAGAAATAGAACTACTGTCCTCGATCCCGAGATCCTCGGGTTGCAGGTACCTGTAGAACGGCAACTTGCATGATAATTTAGGGGCCTCAACAAATAACCATTACCTATTATACATATACATATATATATATATATATATTTTTGGGGTGGTGTCCTTATTTCAATTGTAGTATCATATATCCGCAAAACCTTATTCTAATTTTTTAGGGCCCCTAAACCCTGAAACCCTTATACTAGCCCTGATAGAACCCTGTAGGGACCCCTTTAAAGGACCCCCACCCCCCACCCCCCCCTCCCAAAAAAAAAAACACCTCTAATTATGAAGGCCAACTCCAGGCTGGGAATCAACCGTCGGGCTCTGGGTTTAGGGTTTAGGGTTTAGGGTTTAGGGTTTAGGGATTAAGGTTTAGGGTTTAGGGTTTGGAGGTTCAAGGTGTAGCCTGCCCACTACACTCTTCCGGGTTCTTGTTACGGGATTTAATTTAAGTTACTATTTTTCAAAAACAATAGTATTCACTGTAGACCCCTATTATGGTAACTCAAATTTAAGTTCCTTAGCAAGAACCCAGTATACGGCCGTAACTGTAACTGATGGAGCATACCCTTGGCGCGATCCTCGGAACCGTCTTCGCAGCCACTTACGAACCCGATACATTGGTTGGGTTTAGGGTTTAGGGTTGTTGTTCTGTGCTTTTCTCGAAGGCATCCAATGTACCTCGGAGACGTATTCTATCTTCAGCAGCGATGTTACACCAAGACGGCTTGGTGTCATTGCTACAGCTCCTTCGCTCGCACATCCACTTCGAGGGCTGCAGACTAAACCCTAAACCCTAAACCCTAAGCTCTAAACCCTAAAGACCAACGACACCAACTACTTGTACACTGCATGGGGATAGCGAGCCACCTACCGGGATTTAGGGTTTAGGGTTTAGGGTTTAGGGGTTTAGGGTTTAGGGTTTAGGGGTTTAGGGTTTAGGGTTTCCAAGTCAACATGGCGGGAATATATTGGGTGATTGCGGCCGCAGCTACGTACCCTCTGTTTCAAGGTACCTGTTGGGTTGGGAGGGTCATGGTAGTACTGCCTACAAGAAGGTGGCAAGGTTTAGGGAGCTTCAATACTGGATCGATGGTTGACTCCCCTGAGGCTGTTAAGGTCTTGGGGTATTCCTCTTTCCTATAGAAGATACCCACCTTATTGAATCTATAGTATATTGGGCTCCAAAACCCTTTTTCTCACTATTAAGGCCCCTATATTAGAGACAGGGGCTTGAAGGTTTGCCAGAATACCTCGGACTTCCTTTCAGAAAAGCAGTAGGGCTTGGAACATCGTAGGGTTTGAGACAAGCGGCCTCTACTGGACTAAGGTTTCCAAGACAACGAAACTACACGCAAAAATAAACTTGCCAGCGAAACAATCGCCAGGCAAATCGCCAGGCAGCCGGCACGAACGGCGCCGACGGATTCGACGGGTCGCTTGGGGCCCTTTGCTGGGGGTCTGTCTCTCCAGTGTTTGAGGAGGGTTTAGGGGTGCAAGGTTCCTAGTTTATGTTTAGGCCAATCTTAGTGTGTTGACCTGAGAACAGAGACGCCAGGTAGCGCGGCCATGCAACTACATCGGACAGAATAGATAGGGGTACTTCAGCGTAGATTTTCCTATGTGGGCACATGGACCCTTAGGTAATTACATCCTGGAGAAGGATTGTCAAACTGTTGGGTGGCTAACTTTCGGATACATGAAGGAAGCTTATCGGCTCATGCCCTAAAATGTGTGAGGTGTGTAGAATGTATGGTGTTTATAGGGTGAGTGTGGCGCGGTGCACAGAGCATCTTGAGTTTCAGAAATCTGGTTCAAGTGGCTTACAGAGTTGTTGCACAATATCCGACAGAGCATCACATGGCCCCTTTCAGATTGCGCCCGACTCCTGTATATGTCTGTGATACTGCACCCTAAACCCTAAACCCTAAACACTGAACCCTAACCTAAACCCGAAACCCTGAACCCTTGTACCAGGTTGCAAGGGCTTTGTGAGCACATATGTCGGCTAGGATCTCAAATGCGTCGGTAAGCCCAGAAAGTTGGAACATGGGCTTAGGAGAGAAGTGCTGGGATCCCTTATGCTGAATACCTTGCGGGCAGGAGGATACTGATGTTCCAACATTATGCCTAAACCCTAAACCCTAAACCCCAAACTCTAAAGCCCCAAACCCTAAACCCTAGAACCCTAAAGCCCCAAACCCTAAACTTTCCCAAACCAAAGCTGGCATCGGGCCGTGGCTTGGTGAAGGAGGCCACTCGCATCCACCTGGTTGAGTACGCCAAGGTGCTGGAAGGGCCGGAGCGAGGCAGAGAAAGAGGCTCTCCAAACCCTAAAACCCTACACCCTAGACCCTAACCCTGAAACCCTAAACCCTAGAAACTTAACCCTAAACCCTAAAACCCTAAACCTTAAAACCCTGAAACCCCAAACACCCTAAAGCCCTAACCCTAAACCTTAAAACCCCACACCCTGAACCCTAAATTAAGACCAAAGGAGGACGGGCCGAGCTGCGACTGGACTCCGAGGACGACCGAGCGGCCATCTCTCACGTGAAGGGCAAGTTCTCCATATGGGCCCTTAGGGTTTAGGGCTTAGGGTTTAGGGTTTAGGGTTTAGGGTTTACGGAAGAAATCACAAACCATGCCCTGGAGACCCTAAATCCTAAACCCCTAAACCCTTCTTAGTGGGACAAATCGCCCTAAACCCTAAACCCTCATAATGGGGACACCCCTAAACCCTAAACCCTAAACCCTAAACCCTAAACCCTAAACCCTAAACCCTAAACCCTAAACCGTGATCCCAGAAGCCTTGCCCTCGCCCGTGTCCTCGCCAGGTTTGGCAAATTGCGCTTCCGCCGAGGCACCGATGGCAAGACACGCCAGATGCTGCAGGACTCTCTAGGGTTTTTGGGTTTTTTTGGGTTTAGGGTTTAGGGTTTTGGGGTTTGAGGTACTTTGTTCATATTATAGTACAGGGGCCTGGATAATTACCTACATTCTTGTGGGGGTTCCTTATCATAACTATAGTAGAATGGGCCCGAAAAGCCCCTAAATCCTAAACCCTAAACCCTAAACCCTAAACGCCTTAACCCTAAACCCTGAACCCTAAACCCTAAACCGTGTTTGTTGCCAGGGTTTCCTTAGTGCTTCTTCTACGGGTTCTTTGATAGATCAGAGTTAATTGTAAGGGACATAGTATAGGGGCCTCAATAATTACCCATACTGTTTTGGGCGATTCCTTATTATGATTATATTATAACAAACCCCCCAATCCTTATTCTACCCCTAAATGACGTCTAAAGGTTCCACTATCGAGGCTGGTGGACCCCCAAGATCGTAGGGATTAGGATTGTCGATTTAGAGTTGTAGGGTTGGGGGCTTTGAGT